GGCGGCGTATCGGCTCATTTCCCAGGCCCATTCCGCCCGTCCCCCACGCCAGAGACATCCCTGCGTCTCTCGTGTGTCGCACTTCGACGTCGGGCGATCATACCGCTCAACCGGTACCTGCACGTTCCACCCTCGACGCGATCGAAGCTGCAGGCGGGTCGCTCCGTGGTGACAGTGGGCGTCTGCGAGAGACAACCCTCGAGTGGCTTTAACGCCCACATTCAAACTCAGTTGGCCAGCCTTCACACACTGGGCGGAATTTTGGAACACTATTTGCAGTGGGGCGGAATTCGGTCTGGCCCACAATTTCGGTGCCCTTTTTTTTGCGGGGACTTTCGAATGAGGTTGGCTTTCGAACAAGCACCTCTGAGCATTGGGAAGTTACCGAACTCACAGATGCAGCCGGGTGCAGTACTCTTCCTGTCTTTCTCAAATGATCGGCCTGAGCGCTGATCAGAAGACATGTGACCCGCTTTGCCGACTCAAGCATTGTGAGAGGCAGCCTGGTTGGCCGTGTCGATGCGAGCAGAGGTCCGCGGAGCTGTCGTCACGTGACCGTAAATTTCCACCTCCACACTCTTCCGCACTCAAACTTCCTGCGCGAGGCAAGGGTCCATCTCTTCCCCTACGACCAAATCCATCTCGAGCCGCAGTTGCGACTTACCACAACTTGCATCGAAGCTACGGACACAACAGTAGCTCCAGCACGAGGCCAAGATGGGAAAAGCAGAGGCCGGATCGCTCAAAGCGATCTCCAACGCCATGAAGGCGAGGGGATTGACCAAGCTACGTTTCTACTGCCAACTGTGCCAAAAGGCGTGTCGAGACGAAAACGGATACCGCAGTCATCTAGAATCGGAAGCACACTTTAGACAGGTCGACGCCATTGCATCATCCGGAGGCGCAAAGAGGGTCATCGACGACTTCAGTACGACCTTCCAGAAGGAGTTTGTGCAGTTGCTCAGCCGGCGCTTCGGTACCAAGCGCGTCCGGGCCAACCAGGTATACCAGGAGTACATTGCCGATCGACACCACACGCATATGAATGCGACACAATGGGGCAGTCTCTCCGAATTTGTCAAGCACCTCGGCCGAGAAGGAGTAGTCCAAGCCGAGGATACAGAGCAAGGCTGGTTCATCACATGGATCGACAACTCGCCCGCGGCCTTGGCGAGGCAAGATGCGCTGCAGAAACTGGAACGGGCCAAGATGGACGACGAGCAGAGGCAGCGCAAGCTGCTACAAGAGCAGATCGCGAGGGCCTCCGGTGCATCAATACATGCCGCCGATGGATCCTCTGCTGGCGATGACAAGCAGGCTGCAGCAGCGACGGACAAAGCGTCGCAAGGCCTGCAGCGTACGGGCTCTGGTCCCATTCGCATCGGTCTCTCGCTTGGGACATCGACTTCGAGGGCGGAGCAGAAGAGCAGCACGACTTCCGGCCAGGATGGCACACGGACTGAACCGCTCGCATCCGGCTCCAGTGCAACAGCGAAGCCAACTCCTGCAAGCACAGCTCCGGCCGCAACACCTTTCAAGATGGGCTTCAACGTGCTCAAGTCGACGTCCAAGGCGGCCAATCCGCTCAAGCAGGGCGATCGCTCGACTTCGGGTGACTCGAGTGCCTCGTTGCAGTCGAAGAGTAGCTCTGCAGCGAAAGGCAAACCGCCGAGCAGCATGACCATGGCGGAGAAGATCATGCACGACGAATTGGAGCGAAAGAAGAGGAAGGCAGAGCCGTCGGCGCGCTCCTCGGGCCCGCAGATGCAACAGGGTGTCAAGCGAAGTCGATTTTGACACTCCTCGCTACCCGCTCCTCGCTCTTTGTTTCCCACCCCTCGTCCTTGGCCCCAACATCTGCGAGCCGTTCGAATTCACGCCACATATACCCAAGCAATCGACTCTATTGTCCACAACCATGCCCGGTTCCGCTCGCACTGGGCAGCCTTGTTACTTGCCTCTTCAGGTTTAGGTGGCCATCGCTTGGCCGCGTGTTAATGGTTTGATAGAAAGCCGCAGGTTCTTGCTGCTCTTCTTGCTTTAGGAGGTTGCTTCTTGTGATGATCGGCTCGCCTCCTGAACAGCAACGGCAGGGCGGCATCTGCTGCGGCCTTGCGAATCGATCGGGATTGTAGCCGATGGCAATGCTCGATGGACGATGGGATCCGATCGGAGCGCTCACGGGGGAAGGGCAGGCGAAGCGCCAAAATTGGCTGAAATTGGCAGCCCGTGCCGGCGTGCGCGGTCTTTGGCTGCTCTTGGCTTCATGCGCCAAGAATATCTGCGATTGAACGCGTAAAGGCCGATTTAGACAGCCTTGTATTCGCCAAGACTACAGGCGGATGCAGCTGCAGTTCTTGGCTCGATCCACGCCTCTGGGCTTGGCCCTGCAGCAGCATCTTGACGGCACAGGCGAGGCGGTCGATCTGCAGGCCAATCCAGGCCAGACGGCCAAGCTTTGCCCGCTCCAGCGCTGCACCTCGTTTTTTTTTGATTCGCACTCCGACCGTGGCACGCGCTGACAACTCAGGTAGAGCTGCCCATGCTCTGCTGCGTCGTGTTGTGCACATGCTCACCTTTCCATACCTGGCCAGCAGCATCTGGCACCGGCCAGTCGGGCAAGTTTGGCCATCGTGCTGAGACAGCAGCGTGTCACGACCTCCTTCGCATCCAGCAATCACCACCCCCACCAAGCCCCATCACCGCCACCACCACCACCACCACCACCACCAC